GATTTTAGGGGGAATAAATACATAAAATGTGTAGTCTCGAAGTAATGAAGTCATTGGGCAGTTTTTGTAGCATGTTCATGTCTCTGGTAGTACTGAGGAAATGGCATGGCCCCGCATTTCCACAGCAAGTAACATCTGCCCCCACAAATTCCATGTTACCAGGCAAACACCAGGCTCCCAACCCCTTGTTTTCCTCACAACACTAATGATGGAGGACAGCAGCATTTGCAGGAGAGAAGTGATGAATGAGATGGAGGGCTTATCTCTTCTCCCACACGATTTCTTCTCTAAGCTCTCCCTCCTCCTTCACAGAAGATGGTGGCGGAAAGTTAAGTGTTCCCCACATTATCTGACAAGGACATGTTTAGGAGACACACACCTTTGCTTGTACATGCACAAGGACAGGTAACACTGCCCCTTGCTTAGCTCCTGACACCTTCAGCAGTCCTGCAGCACTTATTTTGGCAGACTGATAATTTAAAAGATAATTCTCTTCCTTTTACACTTCATTTCTTTCTTCTCATACTGAAGAAAAAGAATGTGAGCAAAGGTGTGGGAGGGAAATGTTTTATTCCTGTCAGACTTGGCAGAATCTCTTTATACAATCTAGTATTGCCATTGGATATGAGTTTGCCTTGGTACCTGTGCATTGTGATACATTGATTAGCATTACCAAATGATTTTTCTTTTAATTTTCTTTTAGATTTTCTGTGCTTTTTTCTGTATTCCAAGTTTATGCATATTATTAGACCTGGGTAAAACTGCCCAGGATTCCAAATCACGAAAAGTCTCTTTGAGGGTTTATTTAAACTGCCTAGCTATTTTGCTAATTACTGCTGCTTCCAAAAGAAATAGATATCCTTCAGTGACGAGCCTTCACAAATAAGAGGCGAACATGGATGTCATTGCAGGATATTCTAACATGTATGACTAATGCTGCAAATGAAATATAAGCTGTCCATACAATATGACATTTTACTCAAGCACAAAACATTCTCTGTTTGCTAATTACAACTAGCAGGTTATTCGAATGCTGGTGTTTTTAATTAAGAGCTTATATACCAGACAATCTCTATGGATTAAAAATAAATGTTTTGGTCATTGGAAAGATAGGCACTGTCCTCTAGTGGAGAAAAGGTGCCACAACAGCAACCTGGATATGCCCAGCATTTTACTAATTAGAGAAATACAGCAGTGAGACCAAATGTTGTCATTGCTGATGCTATTGGCTGTCTTCAAGCAAACACCCTCTGATGCTCTAAGGTCCTCCTCACATTCTGTTCACTTTGAAACCAGGCTACATAACAAGAAAAACTCCCATTTTAAATCACAGAGAAGCTTTTTGATTAAAGCCTCTGCCTGAATCCAATTAGCTGGAACAGAAAGTGCATCTTTATCATTGGAGTCTACATAATCATGTTGTCTAGATTAGCCTGATTTTCCCCCAGTTTAAATAAATAAACTTGAGCAAGGAAAGAATATGTTTATCTTTGAAATGTGTTTGTTGGTACTGCAAGTTTGTTCAGGTAAAGTGTGGTTATACTTTACAACATAAGGAAACCGGTTTTTATTATCCATCACTTACCCACTTACATCTTCAATATTTTATATTGGCTTCAGCACCGCATGGTCATTTATATATTGCTGAACTTGTTTTAAGATGTTGTTGGGGCATGAATTAGGAAGCACCCACTTATGGGCTCATGGAGAAAGTTGAGATTTCAGACCATGATGCAGCAAATTACGGGGTAGGAGGGAAGAGGCAGAAAATATATCTTTGTTGCAACTGTAAAGTTAAGCTCTTTACAAGGCTGTAAACGTTGAGGTGCAATGATATTGCATCTGCAAGAAGTGAAAGATGAGGTTGTTCACGGGAGTCATAATGTGCATAGTCATTGTCCAAATTGCATCATTTTTAGACCAGATGTTCAAAGTTTAGCTCAAAAATGCATTTGCAAAAGCAATAATTGCTTAAGGCTCTCTATGAATTACCTGCCATTTAAAAATCTGAAGGAACCTCAAAGATTGGCTAAAGCATGAAGAAGTGAATCTTGCTAGAGTTGTTCTTAGATCTGGGGGGCAGGAATAAACTGAAGTTTATCTCCAGACCATTGGTCTTCAAATGGTGGGTTTGGACCCACAGCTGGATCGTGGGTCATAACAGCAGCACTACCACCATGCAAATATATGGTTAAAAGGGGGGGGGAGTTCCAAAATGCATTTTTGCATTAAATGTGGGTCTTGGTTCTGAAGAATACTGATCCCATTCCCACCACACCCCACAATATAGATGATCCTTGATGGTTGCTTCCTATAATCCAGGGTAGATGAACCCAGGGCAGAGAGCTAGAAACACAAGTGTGAAACAATGGCTGAGGCTGCATTTTTTATGGAATGCACACTTAACTGGCAGTAAGCTCAATCTGCACTTACTAATACACACATATGGGGAAATAATATGAAGAAAGATTGGCGCACATTACATCCCTTTTTTTTTAAATTAAAAACCCTCTGATGTCTGCAATGTTTTTGTATCTCATCAACAAGTGGCATGATGCATGTGTGTGTGAATTCCAGTGAAAGCAACAGATTCACTTTTGGGAGTACATATAGCCTTGTTAAATAAGAAACTGCTCTTCCCAAAGCAAGAACCAGCACCCCCTATTCCTTGTGCTATTAGCTCAAAGTAACAAACAAGGACATCAGTAACAGCAGTAGTAGCTAGTCACAAAGATCCTGCCTGCATGACCCACCACTGACCTTCTCGATAGTTTATTGTCAAGCTCAGCCAGCCTGGAAAGTATAGATTATACAGCAGCCGCAGCCTCGGTATTAATTTATAGTGGAACACCTGGCATATTAATGGCCCTTGCTCAGCAGTAATCTGTACAATATTGCTGGGAGATGGTGCTTCTTTCCTAATTTATTTCCCAGGCGTAAATATTTCATATTTAACAGAAACTTCGAATTCCACATTTAAAAATACACTTAAATAATTCATCCAGGAGGGGAAATCCCCATTAATTTAATGAGAAGAGAGTTCTTTTTCTGAGGTTTGTCTTTTTGACACTACCTCCCTCCCCCTTCCTTGTTGATTCAGGAGATCCTTTTAAAAGATCACCATGCACACATTAATATGCACCTGTAAATGGTTGACGGAACCCTCTGAGTATGAAGTTCATCTCAGCAGGTTGCTTCATTCTGGCTGGAAAAGCTCAGCAGGCTTTCATGGCTCAGTACTCCCATGAGCATGAGGTTGGTGATTAAGGGATAACTTGGCCTGCAGGCCAGCTAGCTCAGTCTGTACACTGATTAGATATCAACAGGTGAGCGATGCTGGGTGGAAAGAACTCAAAGGAAAAGTTGTGAGGCTGGTGGCATGGGACAACAGAAGGAGGCCTTCTTCCTTCCTTTTGAGGGATACTTGATTCCAAGGTGCACTCCATCAGCTAAAAGTAACACCCATGGTCATAGCAGCCATTGCACAGCAGCAAGTCAAGATTTGACATCAACTGATGAACCTGTAACAAAAGCACATTTATGATGCATGTCTATCCCATTCATCACATTCACACTATATTTTTAGATGTTCACCTAAAATATCTAAAGTGAAGAAGTCAATGTAATATAACATCTAATGATGGGTGAGTGTTTTGCAGAGTGGAAATGGCTTCTTTTCCCAAAAGATGTTAGTCAGCATTCAGGGCAACCTATTTAACAAGTTTTTCAGCATTCCATACACTGGCACGTTATTGTTTTAGGTAGTCATGGTTATGCTGGTCTGAATTTTGTGTGTGTGTGTGCACTTTGTATCATTTAGTTTACCTTTGGGACATTTTAGATCTAGCGCTTTTCTGATACCAGTAATCTTTTTCTGTTGTATATTGTGATGGTGCTGAAACTCAACACTTATGGATTTAGAAATACAAGTCCTTGGGAGCTCGTAGTGCTTGCCTCAAACAGTATTATCGCTTCAGTGATGTAGAATGAGAAATGGAAAATAAGGTCTAAGTGACTCCTCGTAATACTTTGACGATGGGGTGCAACAACATTTTGAGCGCCAAGGGCCCCATTCCCCCACAGCACTGGCGCATAGCTGTCAACTTTTTTTAAGGGAAATTCCCTTATTCCAAATAGGATTCCTCGCAAGAAAAGGGAAAAGTTGACAGCTATGCACTGGTGGAGGAAAAGGAGTGCAGGGGGAGCGCACCGCCCCTGGCAGCGCAATCCCAGTGGGATGCCATCGTGGCTGCTCCCCCACCCACGCTGGGCACCACACCCCCTCAGGCAGCATGCCATGCCACCAGGACGTGCGCCAGCCCTGCCCCCACCTGCTCTCCGCCCCCCGGTGCCGGAGCATGAAGCTCCACCAGTGCCCCAGAAGCAAGTGTTTTGGGGCCACATAACTGAAGCCAACCAAAGAGCGTGTGCACTTCAAAAACCATAATGACACTTTATGTATCATGCTGTGTGGTTGGATTGTATGATACTAACAAGAGTGTTGGTGGTTGCGCAGAGGTATGGGGGAACAGAAAGAGGTAGGCTGAGGGCCACGTTAATTTAATGCAGCCTGCAGGATTCTTATCTGTAGTATGATAAATCACTTTCTAGGGGAAAACATTAATTGTATGATCCTTGGGTTCTGTGTATTGTAGAGGCATAGTGTATGAATTCTGCGGCCATCCCATATTTGGAAAATCAATGCTTTGAAAGACCATATACTTAATCGTCTGTGGATAATCTTAGTTCAAGGACTAAGATTAGCCTCTATTCTTTTGTAACTAGTAGATCTATATTCCACACTAGATAATGTGTCTGTCAATACTTTGACAATATTTGAGTAAAAATTGCTTCTCAAAAGTTACGAATGCTAAGGTCATCTTTCAAGCTATGCTCTTTCAGGTTTGTATGGGGAAACATTACTTAGCTGCTGATAATAAAATAAATCATTTTTGCCAGTTTTGGAATAACATGTTTTCTTTATTAATTCTTTTCAACAGGCCATTCTGCTAATCTAACCTGCCGAGCGTTCTTTGGATACAGTGGAGAAGTCAGCCCTTTAATGTACTGGATGAAAGGCGAAAAGTTTATTGAAGATTTGGATGAAAGTCGGGTTTGGGAAAGTGATATTAGGTAAAGTGAGGAAATTGTATATATTTTGTGAAGACTAATCTGCAATTCTTTAGTGAATTAAGTGCTAGGTGAAGGGTGCTATAGACATTTATTTTTAAAATGCACTAAAGCATTGCAGGCCTGCTTTTCCACAAGGTGCACTCTGGGACGGCCATAAAAGATGTGTTCTTTTACATGTACACAGTTATCTCTGAAAGCTCAAGTTCAACAATTTGCTTTTAAATGAAAAAATGCAGATTTTGAGGCTGTACAAAAGTATCTAGAAGAAGCTTCTATTAGCTCCAGTTAGGCTAAATAATAATATGTTAAGGTCTACCATATTTCAACACAAGCATCCAAAGCTCAGCTCTCATATAGAATATTACATGAAGAGCCGATATGTTGCATTTCCTTTCTAAAGCTTTCCCAAAGATGTACACCTACATACTCTGAGGCCTTAAAAAAAAATCCAAGTGGTGGATTTTCACTGGTTTGTGGGTTTGGTGATTTTGAGTATGTTCGGAAGGACCCTGAACTGTTTGTATTCTTTTTCTTTGTTGAGCAGGGAGTATGAAATATTTTATTTGCTTTATTGCTTAAAATGGTAAAGGAAAACAAGGGATGGCAGGTTATCTTTACATGTTTTTTAAACCCAAAGTGCTTACATTCATCCTCTGTGGATATAGCTGAATTTATTTGCAATGAAAGAGGGGACACATTTGGGGTTGTATGTGTGGCATGAGAGCAATGGAGAAATATCTAAAAATAAAATTTCTTTTAACATAGCGGTACCTTAGTTTACCAAGATGGGAAGCAAAAGAGAGTAAGTGCCACTGAATTCAATATTTCCATAGAGACATGTGCAGGATTGCACTCCTGGTGTCAGATCAATCAGATAAATCCTTTTTTCAACACCTGCTTTATATACCATAATTTCAAGAAATCTTTCTAAAATATGATTTAAAGAGCATGTAAACCTTTTATGAATAATTTGTGCACAACCCCTTGATATCTTATCAGGGTATGCTTAAAGATGTCAAATTAATTGCAGCTCTTATTAGTATCTGCAGAACCAAATGTCCTCATTAACAGTGAAGAAGAAAAAGGCATTATATAATTTAATTAAGATTGCATCAAACCATAACCAAATTTGAAACCAGGCTGCTTTCATTTCTGAGAAACATCACATCAGGATCATCTTTCAATGCAATGTAGTGTAAACAACATTATATATGGAGGGAAAAACCAAACTGATTTTTCTTTCACAGAGTTCTTAAGGAACATCTTGGGGAGCAGGAAGTTTCCATCTCATTAATTCTTGATTCAGTGGAAGAAGGAGACCTCGGAAATTACTCGTGCTATGTTGAAAATGGATATGGCCGCAGACTTGCTACCGTTATTCTACTTAAAAGGGGTGAATATTTTATTTTTTTATTCAAAAACAACAGATATGGTTTACACTGTACTGTAAGAAGTTGATGTTTTGTATAGCTATCTCCCAATTTTTATTCCTTGGCTCCTTAGTCCTCTGTACACTGAGGGAGGGAAATGTTAGTCATTTTCCCCCTTCAGTTGGAAAAGGACATTTTAAAGAAAGAAAAAGAAAGCCATCATTAAAAATGGCTATCTGTTGAAGGAATGCAGTTAAATACACTTTTTAATAATGTTTATATAGAAAACACTTTTAACAACCGGTGAGTATGGGAACTAATAAAAATTTACTAGAACTAGCCTGGCAGGAAGCTATTGACACTAGAAGTTTAATCATTTTCTGTAAGAAATAAGTCTAAATAATTCAAAAAGCAATAGGTCTGAAATATATCACGGGGAACAAAAAAAAAGTTGGGAAACTTGCTCCTGATGAATTCCATGTTTGTTTGTTGGTTGGTTGGTTGTCTTAAATGCTGTATTTAAAACTTGCTGCATTTATGGTGGGGGGGGGCAGGATTAAGGCTCTTCCGTTCATGACCTACTAAAATCGTGGTATGGGGGCTGGGCACTCACATAGGACAATCGCCATCTAACACCACAACTTTTGGAGCAGCAGTTATTGGATCTATGACCATATTTTAAAAAAACAGACTGGGCCATTAATTTAATGCAGTCGTGCTTCTACCCAGATACGTTTACCAGTCTGTACTAGCTAATAGTTGGAAGCATCTGTGTGGAATGAGCTTTCTGTGCCTTTTTGGTCATTGTTCATTGTTCAATGTCCAGTGGCGGTGGAGTTCATAGAACTCCCCTTCTCATCCACCATTCAGAAATGTTAGTCTTTTAGCGTGTTATGCATTTCTGCAAAATTGCTGTCCTAGGGCACCAAGAGTCCACAGAGCCAATTTCACCCAGTCAGGCACAATTTTCCAGCATTCACAATGTAGCGAATGAAAGCATGAATATAGGCCAATTGCTGGAGGTTTCTGTGTCCACATCACTCTAAATTTAAGGTCAGAAATTAAAACAACTAATCTGGCCCTAGATTTAATATTTGCATGATGCTGTTCTAAAAACAAGCTTGCGTTATTCACAACAATAACAGCTACTTCACATTGCAGCCAAAATAATAAAATACAATAGGTGTGTCAAATTCATAAAGAAGATATCACAAAAATTCAATATTACTTGACAGCATTTCAATTATTTATTCTTTATTAAATTTGTGTACTGCCCTATACCCATTGATCTCGGAGCAGTTCACAACAATGACATTGTAATAGCAACAATGGCTACCTAGCAAAGTATCAGTTAAGATTACTATTGCACATGGTCTTTGAGGACATGATTTATCAGTAGCGCTGAGAAATTTTGCAAATAACAAAAAGTTAGAAATAGGAGGAGGGGTTTGGCAAGGAGGAATAGCAGAGGATTTGAATTGTTTGAGAAGTTACTTGATTGCATCTGTAAGATTTGAGACGTACCTGATGCATGCATTCAACATACTTTGCATTTTGACAACTTTTTCAATAAAATGAGAAATTAGCCGTGACAGATAAAACCAAAATCAAGCAGTGTCTCAGAGTTCCTAGCTGGAAAAACTCTGCATAGTTAGCAGGCTCCTCTTTTTCACCATGGCAACCTTTTAAGTAAGATTTCCTTAGACCTACATCTTGGCTATTCAAAAAAAAAATGTATTACAAATTAATGTGGGGTTATCTGGTTCTGCAGCAGGCCAAATAAGTTACAGTTCTCATTTTACCAATTTAGTAATTGTTATTATTTGTTGACATTACAACATTGTAAAGGTATATCTCATATGGACAATTCTATTCATTTACTATTCAGGAAAGGAATAGTGAAAGAGTGCAATATTTCCATTTTAGCAATAGGACTTTCCGTTCTCTCCCCCCTTGCCCAGCACAGCCTGTGCGTTCCCTAAATCTGCTCCAGAGGATCAGGGCAACCCCTAGAACAGATTGGGAGAGTGCAGGAGACGAGAAAAGAAGGGTGTTTCATTGCACAAGCAGAAATCCTTGTGTGGTGGAACTTTCATGTGACGTTATTTGGATGCAACCCAGCACCTCCATTTCTAATTGATGTATGTTTGCAATTTTAAATTTCTAGCCGAGCTTTCAGCCAAAATCATGCCATTAACCTAACTCACAAATATGATAACAAAACATTAATATAATATGCAAACAATTTTTTTAAACAACAGTTTTAATCATAACATGCAGCGCAGAGATAAAATGGTGAAGGCTTAAAATCACAAAATGTTGAACGATCAAAAGCCCTATCAAAGAAAAAGAGTTTTTTAATCAGCTTTCTGCATGCTAAAGGTGCCTTAGCTGGACAAAACTCCTAAGGGGTAGAGTTCCAAGTAGAGGACGCCACTCCTGAAAAAGGCCTGACTCTGCTGCCCATCATTTTGACCTCTGGTAGCAGCAAGATCCACAACAAGGCCATCTTCACAGCATGAATGAATGGTTTATGCATAGCACACCTTGTGGCTGTCTGCCAGTGTTCAAAAATGAAACCCAGCAGATGGAGGTGATACAACAACTCAGAAGGGAAAACATCTACTCAGAAGTTGGAACTTCTTTGAGATCAGGGAGTGTGGTCTGAGAGTTGCTGGCCACAACCTGTTCTTGATGAATGTATATTTTTAGTTGCCTCACAACTGAACAGAAGCCTTCCAAAACAGGGAAGTCAGCACAGTAGATTTGAAAGCCACACTACGACAGAAGTTGTATCTACGGAAGGGATTTTCCTCAGAGCGGCTAAGGTGTGGCTGTGAATGTGCTTTATCAGGCAAGGTGCCTTTGCATTATCAGAAAGTGATTCCAACAGGAAGCCACAGACGCCTCCTCTTCCTCCGCCATTGCTCCGAAAGCCAGCGGGGGAAGAGCAGTGGGCGTGTGCACATGCGCACAGGTGCATGCGCTCCTGCGCACAGGCTATCCAGCCCACTGGCAGAAAAGTTTACCAACCCCTGGGCTAGACACCCAAGCAAGGGAAATCGCTAACCCCTACTATTTATTGCAAGGGCATAGGCATACTGCTTTATCTTCTATGTATTTCTCTCTCTCTTTTCAACTGTCTAAGCAAGTGGACATCTTACAGCAATTAATCCTGTATAGTAGACATACACTGAATGAAGAACTAATTTCCTTATGTTTGTCCTGAACCGAGTGCCAGCCAGGTTCACTGGAGAGCTTTGCTCCCTTTTCCCAACCAAGTCCACCCAACTTCTCATCCAGCCAGCCGCACACAGGCCAATAAGCACAATCCCCTTCTTTCTTTCACCTGCTTCCTATTTTTTAACCAGCTGCTGATCCATAATAAGGCCAGCTGTTGTATACAACAATTTCTAGGTTCACTTAGAAGCCTTTTTTAAAAACGCCTTTGGAAGGACTTTGTGAAAATCCAAATTGCCATTGTCCATCAGACTATCTGTGTGTAAATATTTGTTGACACTTGCAAAGAAATCTAAAAGGTTAGCAAGGTAAGATGTCCATTCGAAGAAGTCACAATAATCCTTCTACAAACACACTTGTTTTATGTGTCTGTCAATTCTAGGGGTTTTTCAGTCTCTTTCCTAGTGTTAAGGGTTGCTGAGTTAAAGCAGTGTTGCACATACCAAAGGCTGCAAATATTTTGTGAAATGATTGGACAGGGGAAATGTTGATTCCATTCACTAATTTCATTGTTGTGAACAATTCTTTGCCGTTACAACCTGCACAAATTGTACTGGAGCATTGCACATGCTCATCAAACTCCAGCAGGTGCTGAAACTAATAACAAGCTCTCTATAAATGTATATATGGACGGGATTGTGCTGTCCTGCAGCTTTATACTTTCATGAGATTTAAATGCAAGCCGGTAGGAAGGCTTATAGTGTTTAAATATAAAAGCTCTTAATAATGCAAGCTAACATAATAATAAATGGAGAAGGGACATACTCATTCAGTGGCACACTGCTGAAATATGAGGCTTTCACTCATCATGGAGCCAACCTCCTGCAGTCTTATTTAATTACACTGCAACATTATTACAAAGTAGCCTCTAATTGTCTAATTACGTCTTCCATTTTTTAAAAAACTTGGGTTTTTTATGCATATAAAACTTCCAAGCTGACAAAGATGTAGGGGGCCTTTCACAAAGTTGTTTAGCATCTTATTTTGTTGTTTTGTACAAGGTTTATCTCATGGCTGTTTGTTACTACTCATTAATGCCTTCCTTGACTTGGACTACTCACCCTTAACTTTTTGCATGCCCTGTGCCTCTCCTTTCAATATATGGTGTTAAACACTTCATGGCAATTCCCAACCTTTGCCTTCCTTTTTCAACTGAAACTAGCAATGTGGTGCATGCACAAAATTCAAATGTTCTCCCTCAATTCATGTTCTTAACCTGCTTTTTCCATCCAGATCCTTGATAAAAGCTTCTTCTAACACTATCCCAATATTTTACCATGATTATGATGCCAGTTGAACAAATATGCTGCTGCTTTCTGTTTCTTTGTAGCAAATGACAGTTTCTTGGCATCCATTGTCTCCTTCCACCATTTTGTTCTTCCCATCATCAAAGTTGCTCAACAACAGGACCACATTTTTTTACAATAAGGTTTTTAAGTATAGGTCTAGTCAAAACAAGTTATACGCTCACAGGCCTCTTTCTAGACACCTGGAAGTGCAGCCACTAACTGTCCTTATTTCTGGAGTAATTATGCTTATCTATCTATCTAGGCATACTTACCTATTTATATAGATATAATTTGAGGAAAACACCACAGTCATCTGTTAAATAGTATACTTATTGGCAATGAAATAAGTCACACTATACTGAGTGGACCTTCTGAATTTATGTCCATAGGATCCAAAAGTAGGCTCCCATGTATCTTCTACTTTTCATAGTACACTGGTTCATTTTTATATAAAATGCTCTTATAAGAACATCTTAGCTAATCCATTAAGCAAC